CATCATGTTACATTGTATTGTTCATGTCATCTCCTCGGTCTGAAGGATACAAGGAGTTTGTCAAACAAAAGATGGCAAGGGAATGGGATTTTCCTGTTTGGACTTTGAATGAGTTACAGACTTGTCGACGTCATTGCTATCCGGATGTACCCATTGAGACTATCAATGAGAGGTATCGCATGTATGGTGGTGTAGCTCGTTCTGTCTTTGATATTGTATCAAATCCAATGGAGAAAGCTTTGACTGATGTTGATGCAGTCAAAGGGGTACGAAACATTGGATTCACAATCAAACTATCTGCAAATACTCATACATTGCTTCATACCATTGTGTCGGACGACGGACAGTACAAATTCCTGCATGTTGATATTTCTTCAAGATATGTTGGAGAACAACTCTGGCAACGTCATTCTGCTCAAATGATTACCAATATGCAGCAAATGTTTGATGGTATTCCAACCAAAATTTCAAGACATTTGTTTGAAATATACGGACATGTGGTTTTTTGTACTGGTGGACAAACTCTCAAATGCAGATGCCTGAAAGATGGTACAGTGACAAAGATTACTTTGGATGCACTCAATGGCCAACGAATTACATTTGGAATAGATACTATCCCTACTGCAGCAGCACTTGATGGCAACTATTACGAACCGACAAATGACAATAATTTTGCAGCAATTGATTCACTCAGTCGACAGGGAATGTTCCAATTTACAGTTGCTGCTGAACATCCTATTCGCGAAGTTGATATTCTTACAAAACTGTGCAATTTGTATGATGAACCCAAACTTTATTTTGTGGTTCCACCTCACCAGTTTGAAGGGTTCAAAAAGCAGAGTTTCAACCCAATTGATGGCACAGAGCAGGTACAACCCATTCATGGATTGAAGCAATACGTTATAAAACTCCCACTAATACAACCAGATTTGAAGAGTAGAAAGTGATAGTTGTATTTTACAACTGATATGGCATATTTTCAACCATTCCAACCATTCCAACTATTTGATAATTCAATGTTGTTAATACAACTGGCATCATACAATTGTGTCCATTCAAGGGATTGATATGCATTTAGCATGAAAAGTCCAAATTCAAGTTTACTATTGTAACATACGCTTTTTGACAAATAATGGCTCTGTTGACACATCCTTGTACCATCCAATCGTGTCCGATTGAAGCATCAAGTATGAGTTTGGCAGACAACTTGCAACTTTAATCAACTTGTATACGGTAAGCATTTTGATAATGTCGGCATTTGTCAGGATATCACACCTGACAACTTTGAATCAAATTTAGCAGTGATTATAGGTGAAAACACCAATCTAGCACAACAACAATTCCAGACAATCCGATTCTGATTAGTTCTAAAACCAGAACTCACATTGTAACCACAAACCAAATGCGTTCAATATCAATCACAATCATCATGGACGAATGTATCAAAGTATGTCGTCAACTTTTGAATATTTTAGCAGTCTTGCTTAAAACAAGTGGTATCATCCAGTGCACTACATATACTACTCATGGTCATTGACAACTGATTGTGTAGTAATAGTGTTAGTGTATTGTGAGCAAAGTGTTGATGATGGAATAACACACATTTTGGTTATGATACTAGAAACACACAAACTTCAAATAACTGCGCAACTATATGTTCAAACTCTGCTCCAAATATATGTTGTTGTATACAGCAAACCTGGTAAAGTGTTGTATTTTGTCATGGCTGCATTGTTTCGAGACATAATTCGAGGCTTGTTACAATGGTTTACTGGATTTGATATCCAATAGATTTGATAAAAGTGTTGCAATTGACATTTATGTTTGTGGATAACAATATTTTGGAATCAACTCGTTCAATTTGGAAATCAGTTGGATTTCTTGCTGATATCAATGTCAATGTCAATGTCAATTGATTGGAGTAGCACTCGAGTGCTTGCAGTATTGACTTTGGTTCAAACAGTAATTCACAGTGACACACTGATTATCATTTCAGTGAAAAATGATACAGAAATGATCATTCCCAAAACAAGGAATCTGAATGACTGAAATACTGCGCTTATTATGCTGATAATCCAATACATGAATTTTGTCCGAATTTTACAGAGCTTTGTGATTTGTATAAATTGTAATAGTAGATAAGATACAGTAAATATAATATAGTATAGTATGTAACTGCAACTGTTACTAGTTATCACAAGAAACCAAATCAAAAGTGTAATGAAAGTTGCACAGTAATCCAAAATCAACAGACTTGGTCTTTTCAGGAATAGTGAAAAGGTATAATAAAGTAATTAAAAAGTCAAAATCGTTTAAAAAGTTGTTTATTGATAAAAAATATCTTGGCTTCTATAGTAATTGGTTGTTTGTGGCTTGTAACACAAACAAGTATAATGCTTGATAATAAGCAGTTGTAACCAAAAGTAACTATCCAATGGTATCGATTCCTGTGGTTGGCCATGTCAATGTAATGTCATTATGTTACCCGCTAGTGGTTGCATGAATCCCAAAAATGAGGATAATGGAGTCGAGGCATATGGATTGGTGATGAAGAGTTTAATTTGAAGATTTAAAGTGTGTGCTACTAGAATTAATTTTGCCACAGGTTACCGCTTAAAAGTATGTCTGGCTATTCCAACACAGTATGATCAAGTCATTAGTATAATACACTATGGTTTGGCAATACACGATGTTTATTGAATGAATGGAATTGGATGCATGACAAATGACAAGTAAACCATCATGAAATACACGCTGCATTATAGTATATTCTAGATGAAACTGTTGATGGTCCACTTTGAGCTGCAGCAATGTGACGAGTCTGGTTGAAAAGTTTGCTGAATACCAAACTCTTGAAAAATTGCATCATGCTTGGATTATATGAGTTTTTCCATAAAATAATCAAAGAAATAATGGAAGCATTTACTATATCCGGGAACTGCTCTCAGTAAGGAATTACTAGCCATCAATGATCTATCCAATAAGTTCTGCATAAGCGTTTCCTTGAAGTTATCTTCTTCCTTGATCAGATCCGAAGCTCTCCTAACACGTTCCTCCAAATCTTGTTCAAGTTCTCTAAGTTTTTTTTGATGCAGATCAGACTCTTCTTTAGCATTATCCAACAACTGACTCGGAGTTTGTTCCAGGGACTCGACTTTTTGCTCCGCTTCAAAAGTCACTTTTCTTTGAACATTAACCTTATGACGTACGCCTTCAAGTCTCTCCAACATTTTGTCGAGTCTAGCTTGAGATTTTGCAATACCAGTGATCAACGGCACTTCAATATCATCGAATGGACTGCAATATTTCTTAAGCCCATCTTTTGTAGGAAAAACCGGATAGTCAGATCCATCAGTTGAAGTGCTAGCTTCAGCATTTGTGGCCGAACTGGGATAAACTGGACCAGCTGTAGTAACTGAGCAGACAGCAAGTATCGATGACAGTACGGCAATTGAGAATTTCATTGTATTGGTTGGTTGAGCAAGTTGTAATGAATGTCATTTAACACGTCGGTTTGGTGTCGTATTTATACTCATTATTAGATTGATAATATTAAAAGCATATTCCTTGAATGACCGTCCTAAGGGATTTGTGTTGTCGGGGTTAGCATTGATTTACTGCTATAAATGTCAGGGTAACTTTAAAGGGATCTCCCTTTATACAATCGCCCATTGCTTGATTTAAACCCTGATATCAGGGTTAACGACCAGAGTATATTGTCGCACTATGGTGTCGCTACACAATATATTCTAGGTGATATCACCACATGACGGCACAAGCAATGTTGTACATCCACTCCATTTATGTTGCAAACACTCGAGATCTCGCCTGTTCAACAACACATTGTCACCAATACAATAGTGTGTGATCATATTGCACCAATCAACCAGTATACGATCACTGGATACATCACACGTTGGTGTTTACCACTGTATATGTGTGGTGTATATTGGATATAGTCCATGATATCAATGAGTTTATGCATACTGCTTACACCACACACACCAAACCAACTCAGTGATATACGAGTGTTGCAGTTTGACCAAATCACAATCACCCATATTATCGACTGTCTAACTCGTTGATATTCAAACCGTGCCATCACTAGTCACAATATAATGGTTGACTGACTTGTTTGATTGACCTGACATATTGACACTTTGCAAACCCCGACTTGATTCATCAACTTGTATATTCATATAATATTGGGTTTGTATCATCACGTTGGACTCGTTATCAAATACCTTGATGTGTTCATGCAACCCAAACTTGATATACACACATTAGTTACTGTTTGACATGACTGGGTTGATCATAAATACCAGACAATGCAACTGTATTAGTTACATGATATAACCAATCATGGTTGGTTCATCACCATCAAATATCAAATGTTGATCACGTATACATTGATTTGTAATTGCATGGTCCGTTGACAATGCACACTATGATATGATTGACAAGTTGTTGATTTGCAGTAATCAGATGTGCATCACCTGTAATGTTGGATGCAATTGACGAGTTGTAACCACCAGTCAACAATCATCGATATGCTGGTGATTGTATTGACTACATGATTGGTATGGATTAGCTGTCATGATCGATTGGTGGACAATATAATCCGCATTGATTATGACGTGTTGCAACTAGTTGATATATGCAGACTCGACTGATGATCGAGTATATGTTGATGTGTAACTCTGTCACTGTTGGTTTGGATTGGTTGTTGCTACCGCATATATATGCATTGTATTCATGTGTGATGTATTGAATGTATCAGATGGTGTCATGAAATGTTGGACAATATTCATGATTCAAATATTGACAGTCAAACATTGGTTAACCAACAGTTGTACGATTATACAACTGACCCGTGTATTGACAAATGGTCAACATCGATCCGGTCATGGTTAAAACGGTGTACCACAGGACTTGAAAGTTGACACATTATTGCTGTGGTGTGATGTTGGCAACTACACACAACTTGACATGAATGACAATGTTGATGTCAAAACTGTCAATGTATTACAATGTATTGGTCAACAGTGACTGCAATCAATGACAATATTGCAGTCGATCCAATCCATGTGTTGATTGGAACAATCCACATCCACTTGTCAGATTCAGCATGTAAATGAATGTTTTGTAACACATTTACTAATCCAACAATTGACTGATTAACAATAATTAAATATTAAAATGTTGAATAAAAGACTCGAGTCATTATATGAATGACGTAATCAATTGTTGAGTTGAATTGACACTTGATTGAACAATACAAATAAACACATGACAAATGTTTAATTTGATTGTAATTTCACACAAAATTGTTTAATTCAAAGTGTGAATTTGATACTATGAATGTATTCAGATTCAATGTCAAATTAAGCATTTTTGTGTGGAATTACAATCGAATTGTATTGATTTGTCATGTGTTCACTTGTATTATCGACCAGTTGAATGTTAATCCAACTGTTCAATACTATCATTACATTGCACCATTCATCTTTTATTTTAAATGAACTTGAAATAAACTCGAATTTCAAGACATGAAATTAACTTGTACAACATATGCTGATGGTGTTGCAAGTGTGTTGGTCAACTCATGTATGGTGGTCCCAGTGATGGTGCTAAAACTGTGACTGTTACCAATGGTACGCTATAAGCAGAAACTTGACGAATTGAACAACCAGCGCTTCATGGTCAGTATTGCCAAGATGAATATTGACAATGATCAGGTCTCGTCACGACAGATTGTGTTGTTGTCCACAGTTGCGACATTCATGGATGCAGTACTTGCCGACTGTTTTGATGGCAATACATACGCAACATGTATGCAGTAGTCTATTGATAGCATCACTAGATGATCTGATGTAGAACCGTAAATCTGATTGAATCACAATTTACCATGTCCATCATAAATTCAGAATCTCACATTTAATCTGAAATTCCCAATGAATATTCATAAAACCCAAAACTATTCTAATGAATGATTTATTTCACTTGATGCTATCAGTCCACATGCACAATACTTTTTAGATTGATTATAGTTGTCGTGGATAGAAATGGTATAGAAACCAACAAGCAAAAAATGTATCAAACTCAAGCGAATTCGTTAAAGTCACGAACACGATACCAGCTTTGGGGATCAGGTTGGCTCAGAGACTCACCAACGGTAGTAAACTTGTATCCAAATCCACTATATTTTTCAATAATTTTTCGAATACCGAGATGACCATTTTTAACATCCTCATGATTAAGTGTGATTAACGATTTGATCCGTACACCAAACTCGGAATAGACACCATGGCCCTGATCAAAGTTGGCAAGTGCCGTTTCACCTGAATCATTTACATCGCCAATTCTCAAGTCGCCGCTATTCAGATTACTTCCAACAACAATATATCCCATATCCATAAGTTGCTTAATCACTTCCGGACTAGTGTAGCTATGAGGAAGTCGCATGTAGAGTGGACTGGCGTCAATCACCTTTTGAATCATCCAGTCATTATTAAGCATTTCAAGAGCAACTTCCTCGGGCGAAAGTTTGGAAAGTCTGGAATAAGACAGACTTCCAGATCCAACCTGATGACCTTCGTCACATATTCTTTTTACAATGGCTTGTACTTCGCTGTCGTGTAAATTGCTAGTTTTGAATCCACTGACAAAAAATGTTGCTCGAGCACCCAACTCCTTGAGTACGTCAAGAATTTTTGGAACGTTACGAACATCAGTACCTCCGTCAAACGCCAGAGCAATCTGACCACCTCGTTCGCCGTTTTTACGAACCTCGCGATAATAGTCGAAGTCGGCGGGACTCGAATCGAATTCTGGAAGCTTCGTGATTGGAAGTTTGCAGATACCAAATAGACCTTGGCATCCAACACTGCAATGAGCAGTTGTAGTTCCACATTCACCATCACGCGAGCAACAAGATTCTGGTGGACACACTTTGTTGACTTGACGTCCACACGTATTATCATCCGTCAGAGTGAGCGAAGCCTTGATAGCAGGACTAAGATCACTTCCACATTCACCATACAAGGGATTGCATTGAGATATGCAGTGCGAAACATCCACTCCACATTGACCGTAGTCGGAACAGCATAGTGATCCCTTGCATCTGCCATGATTTGGTCCACATTTATCAGATTTTAAAACGAGTTCATGCAAGTTTTTACTGGATACTTCTGCACCTTTGTCTTTTTGTTCCCGAGTCTTGCTAGGCTCAGGCTCAGTATCAGATTCAGTATCAGATTCAAGATCAGAATCAGCAACAAACTCAGTATCAGATTCAATATCAGATTCAAGATCAGAATCAGTAACAAGCTCGGTATCAAATTCAGTAGCAGGTTCAGTAGCAGGTAGATTCTTCACTTCACAATGACCATATCCGCGTTGACAATTCTTGCCACACGAGTCGGTTTCTCTGTTACAGACTCCGTATTCGGAGCAGCATAAATCATCTGGACAAATGGTTTTTGCTTTTGGACCGCACTTCAAATCACTGGATACAGGCAGATTTAAGATTCCCTCGTTGCTTGTAACAAACGGAGCTGATTTGGGTAAAACTAATCATGTATTTACTCGTGAGTATCCCAATCAACAGTATATACAACCATACATATTGTTGTTTTACCTTGAGCGCTACAAACAGCGGCAAACGCCAACACGCTGACTTTAAGCATAAGCATGATGAATTCTATATGCAATCAATCAAAAATCCGTAGTTGAAATGGTTGACTGCAAATGATATCCTGATATTGCGTTGGGGATCATGACCATTTAAATGTGTAAAACACTGAATCGGTCACCCTAAATCCCAGTATTGTAACCGTTCAAGTATCCAAAATAAGCTCGCCCTTTTCCAGTGTATGCAGCCAATATGCTTTGACCTGTGCACTCAGGAATCTTAAATAGGGTTTTGACAACCGTTGATAATGAGGGTGTGTGATCAGGGTTCTGGAGTAAGACAATGTCAATCAGCTGTGACAAAGTCGACAGCGGAGATTACCAACGAGTCGAAAACATCAAAATTTACAGTCTAAAATAAGCAATATAGTATAAAGTGATTAGCCAATCATGACGGATTTGCTCAACAAGGATTTGTGGAGTGCAAGATGACACGCCAACTGCCAACCAAGTCATGCAAGCTTAATGACTGCATGTTGTCGGCTGTAAATTAATATTGTTCGTATCTATAGCATCTGTTCCTGGACCAACTTATCCCAATCGTCATTTCTTCCATTGTGCTACTGCTGCTGGCTATACTGCCAACAATGGTGCTTTTCTTGGTGTTCCGTGCCGTACAATCTACGAAAATATGGCCGATCATGGAAACTCGTACAAGTTCTATTCTCCTCAACTCAAGTCTACACCACTGTTGTACCGCAATCTGCGCAACATTTACAACTGGATGAGAATCAAAAACATGAGCACGTTTTTTGAAGATGCCAGAGCCGGTTCACTACCCCAATATTCGTTTATTGATCCT